TTAATCTATTTATTGAAAAATCAAAACAACTTATTAGTGGTATCAAACCACAATAAACACAAATTATTTTGTGACATCTAATCACAATAAACTAGTAAACGCTATTATAAGCAAATTTCAAACATCTCCATTTTCAAAAACTCCTAAAATTGTTTTTGAGATTTCTCCCTAAAAAAGAATAAATACATTAAATAATTTAAAATTGTTATATTGTCTTAAATATTTATGATAATTCTCGTCTGTTCAGAGATGTTTGCTAACGTCGAGCAGATATTTTTATTGTGTGCTGCATTGTCCATGAAAAAATTGCATATATTAACTAATCTAATGAGAATTACTAATAACTAGAAAATGAAATTAATAACGAAATGGGCATTTGGTCTAGTGGTATGATTCTCGCTTAGGGTGCGAGAGGTCCCGAGTTCAATTCTCGGAATGCCCCATATAATCTTACAATTTTTTCTTGTGTGGCAGCCATCAAATTTGAACACAGTTTTTGTGTTATCGTGCAGTGCTTCAGTATAAAAAGGAATAACATACAACTCTCATAAGAAACCTTAAATAACTGAGATTTACATTTACCAGCTAAGATAGAACATGATCAAGAGACTCCAATTCTCAATAAAATCTACATTCAAGGGGGCCAAAGATGGATTTCAGACACGTTGTAAGCTTTAGGCAGGGGTAGGCTATTCACGAGCTTAGTAGCTTTAGCTTAGCATAACTCCCACTTGGATAAAAATATATTGTTCTATCACCTTGACAATAACTGTAATTATTTTTTCTAGTGTAACTCATCTATATGTATATTCTCAATTAATAATCAATGACCATTACCCACCATAAGGGTTTCTTTCTTTATCTTTATCGTATGACATTTAAAACCCATTTTCGTATATTTCAATTGGCAATTTTCGTGTTATTAAATACTTTAGTATGATAGGGATTAACTCGAGACCAAGTGAGTCTAAAATCTGATATACTGTGAGTTTGAGAGGTGCAAAGAGTACACACTCGCATAAAGTGATTTGATCTTAGGAGCACCGGGATCGGGGGAAATGCCCTCGGTGGGGTTCCAAGGGGCATCGCCAGTGGCGGAGCCTCTTAGGAGCAGGGAGTGTCATGATCTCCCCGATTATAAGGGTCTACCATGCATTGTAAAATTTTGAAATCATAAGTAGCACCAGTGTAACGAAATGCAAAGTTATCTTGAAATTGAGACGATTCGGAAACCACTGGGACATTTATGCACTTTGTCTAGTATTTATGGACTTGCATATTATTTTTAAAGTTTATTAAAAAATTTCTATTACATCAATGATTATTTATGGGGGTCTGTTTAACTTTTACCTATATAAATTGTTTCGGCCAAGACTTAAACCCTTCTTCGATTATAGAATTTCAATGACATGCTAATCCGGCTATATGGTGTTTTTTTTTTTTGATAATTTAAGTGTCATTTGATACAATTAGCTGGTAAATTAGTTTTTTTTATATCTGATAAATTCTAACAATCGAAAAAAGAAATATAGCAAGTCAAGTAATAGAAAATTAGAAATATTAAAAATGAGAAGTTGGTTAATTGCAATTTTTAAATGAGGAAAAAAAACTCTGCTACATTTCTCCAAATTTTCTATTGCAATAAACAAGATACTTTAAAAACTTCTTATTAGAGACAACAAGAATGGGCATTTGGTCTAGTGGTATGATTCTCGCTTTGGGTGCGAGAGGTCCCGAGTTCGATTCTCGGAATGCCCCATTTTTTTAAAACAACTATTTTCATTTCTTAAGTTCCTTAATCTGATGTTCTACTCTATGTACATTCTTTATTTTAACTTTTTACTAAGAAATAATATAATCATCCTGAAATAAATCATGTTTTTATGCATTTTAGTAATCATATATTTCTAAACCTGAAGGTTCTTGTAACATGCTTCTTCTATATTCTAGCGCTTAGCAGCCATATATAAAAGAAACAAAAAGGGATAAAAATATAGCTGCATTTGAGTAATCAAACACAAAGAAAAACGAGTAGAATTCGTTTAGCAGATCCAACAATGAACCCAGCAATCAGCAAAGCTTTTTGTCATTCAAAATCAACCAAAAGCAATGTACAATTTTGTAAAAATGAAAAAATTCCTTCTCAATATACAAAAAAATGTAACACATGCTAACAACCTTCTATCTTTAATGAGTCTTCAATATACAAAAAAACGTAACACATAGTCTTTAACAACCTTCTATCTTTGATGAGTCTCGAATCTCAAGTTGGGGACCCACCATTCTTTAAACGTCTCAGATACAATAATCTCGATGGCTATTCATGATAGCATAATACAATCTAGTAAGAGCAATTGCTTAGTTGACTACAAATCTATAAAAGCAATCTCTTTACCCCAAGGGCGCGAGGATGAATTTACACATACAATAAGTATTTTTTTCTTTTTCTTTTTTCAAAAAACCATTTCAAGAGCTCAATCACTTTCAGTCGTCCATGAAAGTCTCAAAACTCCTGTAGGATCAAATGTTATGGTTGTTTGAAATGGGGTCTTTTTCACTACTTTTTATCCATGTCCCATTTGTTTATTAAGATTCTGTTTGACGCATCACAACTAATTTATAAAAGCTAACTTATCTTTTAATTTTTTTTAGGTTGTAAACCAAAAAGTAGTTTATAAGCATTCTAAAAAAGTTACTAGGAGTAGCTTTTCAACTAGCTTATAGAACTTTTTTAGAATTTTTCATATTATACCTTTTACTAATTATAATAAACACAATTTTCTACACGATCTTATATGTCATTTTAGACATTCCAACTAGTTTTACCAAATATTATTTTTTAAAACCAATAAACCATGTTTAAGGGAAAAAACAAATTTAAAAAGACAAGTTAACTACTTACAAGTTATTATATTTAACTCGCAAATTAACTACTTGTACCACTACAAATTTGATATAATTTATTCGGTGATGGATATGTAAGAGTTTAATCACTTCAACAAACGATACAATAATTTCACACACACAATAATAATACAAACAAAAAACAAAGAATTCAATATTTAATGTGGTTCATATGATTAGAGTGATCAGTTACATTCCATGGGCGAACATAAGAAATTTTACAGATTATTGCCGAGTAACAATTTTGTTCCTAACGGCTATAGGTCAAAAGGGTGAATCAAGCTCCACTACTTAACAAGCGATGCAACTTTAAGAGCTCAACATTGTTTTGATGAAGTAAAGACGACATTACTTGCTTCCATTGATTGTGCATTTCTAAGCAATGAAATTGATAAATAGCGACTTGTGCAAAAATATGAGTGATAAATTTATGAATGATATTCTAGTGTCATATATTGATTGATAAAGATATGTTGCAAGTTTTATTTAAGTTGGAACATGTGTGCAACAAAATAGAAGAAAAAAACGGAACAATGGAAATTGCTTGACTACTAAACTTTTACTAATAAAATAAGACCACTAAATTCTTGATCTGAAACTTGTACCCTATTTATACCAGACATAATTGAATCCTAAACAAACACAAAAACTAAAACAAGTCCATATCAAGTTTCCTAAAATAAAACAAACTTTCTTTTAACCGATTAATCCAACAATCACCCCCTTAATCGGTTAAGCCACTCGTTCAAAACACTGTCGATTCCTCTTCGATTAGACCCGCTTCTTCCTTTTCCCATTTAGGACACTCGTTTTTATAGTGACCAAACTCACCACATTTGTAACATCTAACGTGACTTTTATCCCGGACACGTTTATTACCATCTCGACTTCTCCCGGACCCCCGACATCTTCCCGATTTGAACGTCCATTGCCACAATGCTTACAAACATGTGATTTTTCCTCACTAGCCAACAATAACCCACCTTGAGTGTCCTCCACTTTCTCGGTTCCTCTTATACACTCCTCGTATGCCTTCAATCTACCAACCGCTTCATCGAATAACATTGAATCCAACTCGAAACATTGCTCTATTGAAGCCACGATTTGAAGAAACGACTTAGGCATCGAATCTAGTAACCTTTTTACCAAATCACCTTCTTCAAGCTCATATCCAAGACTCCTTGCTATTGACGCTAAACCGGATAATTTCGTCACAAAATCATCAACCGTTTCACCCTCCTTCATGCGCAAACTTTCAAGTTCTCTTTAACGTTGCAAGCCGAGCCGTCCTCACCCGATCTATTCCCAAATACCGTGTTTTCAGCCCATCCCACACTTTCTTTGGTTCGGTGTAACTCGCCATTTGCAACACCATGTCTTCGGGTATCGCTTGAAACAAAAAAGCAAGAGCTTGTTTTGACTTTTTTGATCCGATGTTTCACCCGCCTTTGGTTCGACCGTCTCCCATATGCCGTGTGCATCCATAATCGACTTGACTTTGACCACCCACACCGGATAATTCGTTGGAGTCAAAACCGAAACTTGATACGTCATTGAACCTCCTTCTTTAACCAACGACATCCTTTTCTCCTTAACCCCGACTTCTTTAATCAAGCTTGTTCCGAGAGCACTCTTCCACCGGACTACCGTCTTCCGTCACCCGCAAAACGAACCGATTCAAAGTCACCCGCTTTGACGTCTTCCAGTTCGTTTACTCCGCGTCTCCGGTTAGTCTCTCACAAGCCCGATTAAAAGAAACCGGGGTTGCTTCTAATCAACCTCAATTCACACCCCCCTCAACGAAACCGCTCTGATACCAAGTGTAAGTTTTATTTAAGTTGGAACAGGTGTGCAACAAAATAGAAGAAAAAAACGGAACAATGGAAATTGCTTGACGACTAAACTTTTACTAATAAACGAGACCACTAAATTCTTGATCTGAAACTTGTACCCTATTTATACTAGACATAATTGAATCCTAAACAAACACAAAAACTAAAACAAGTCCATATCAAGTTTCCTAAAATAAAACAAACTTTCTTTTAACCGATTAATCCAACATATGTTAGATGGTATTAGCAAAGATACACTTATAGATTGTTTTCAAAAAAATGACAACCTGACCCCAATAACCAACTTCTATCAACATGTTTATTTGGTCACATCAATTAAATCGGACACACATAAGTTTGAATCTTGGATTCCTCACTTCCTGGGTGGAGGTATTTTACACTATCTACATTTGACCTCCTCTTACCACTTTACTAGTTGGATTTGGTTGTTGTTTTGTTGGCTGCAACAATTATTCTCAACGTTATAAGCTAAAAAATCAAGAATAATGATTATAGAAAAAAGCAAAATGTTACATATATTCATTTATTACTTGCATAAAGTAGAAACTCTTACCACATGAAACCACATGGGCATTTGGTCTAGTGGTATGATTCTCGCTTTGGGTGCGAGAGGTCCCGAGTTCGATTCTCGGAATGCCCCAAGTTGAAATAAATATTGCTCTTCTTATTTTGTTCCTTTTTTAAACTTCAAATTAATGGTAGATTCACTTGAAATCTTGCCAGATTGCTGTTCCCTTAATCTTACAATATTGCAGAATTTACATGTAATCAGACAAGATTTCATGCATTTAATCTTATAATACTTTCCAGAATGATCATCCAAAAGTACTCTAGCAAAACCAGAAAAGTAACTGCATTAAAACAATAATCTTCCAAATTAAAGAAACCCTATGGACCACACAATAAAGTTATTTTTTTTGGCAAAGTAAGCAAAACTTGATTTATAGTTCAACAACCAATTAGCAACACAACACTTGCATAAGATCATAGATCCTACACAACAATAATGTTTCAAAATCTAAGCAATAAAAAATCTGAAGTGTGCAATAAAACTTACCCCAAAAAGATACATTGCATTTTTTGGGACAACCAGAAATGAAAACTTTAGCATTTTAACTATTGTGATAATAAAAAAGCAGATAGATTAGATTAAAAGGAAGTGGGCATTTGGTCTAGTGGTATGATTCTCGCTTTGGGTGCGAGAGGTCCCGAGTTCGATTCTCGGAATGCCCCACCTTCCTTCCTTTTTTATTTTACAAAATCAACTCATTTTATATTAAATTATTTTTTAAATGCGATAATAATACTCAATTTGATTATATATTCTACTATTAATATAAACTAGAGTCAACTCAAGACTTTTTGAAACAAACATGTACTTGTAGATCTGAAAAGATTCTGTCAAGAAAGCCAACTGACAGCATATGCATTTGCTAACATGCTTCATGAAAAGCATATTTAACTTCATTATCTGAATAAGCCATTGGTCTAGTAATATGATGTTCTTGTGACAAAATCAAATAACTAATGAAACCACATATTATATTATTAAAATTAGGACAACAGCTATGATGCATGGGTGTTGGTTGGGGGGTCAAAATGCACAAACATAAGTTGTAATTAACGAACAACATTGTTAAAAAGATAAAATATAGGGTCTAAATGCAAGAAATGGAAACATACTTTTGTTTATTTCCTCATAATACCATCCCAATTTCATTTTCTTTCCATTACAACATTAATATATTTTGCTAAAGCATTATACTTTGTGGAAAATACCCAAATAGCTCATTCGGCCATTGTACTTTGAAAAGACTACCCAATTATAGCAATGAAAATTGCTTTGTATTTGAATGGCATTGCTATAAATGGTCAGATTGCTCAAAGTACAATGTTGTAATGTGAAGAAATGAAAATAGGATATGCAATAATAAACAAATAAATGAAACAAACGTTGCTATTTACCAAAAATTCTTGAAAACCACAAGACCAATGCAAAAAAGAAAGAAAATCAAACACCATATACAACTCCATCAAAGCTTTCTATTGTCCAAAACAACATAACATGGTTTCCTTGAAATACAAGATAAAGCAACCAATAATGAGAATACATTATGCTTTTACTTTTTTTTTTCTTAATAAGGCATTTATTTGACTTTGAAAAAAAGTCTTCCCAATTATAGCATTGTACTTTTAAATATTTTATCAGGACATTATACTTTGCAAGATCTACCAGGTTATAGTGGTAGATTTTTCAAAGAGCAATGATGTGATAGAAATATAACAAACAAATCAATGAAAAAAAATGTAAATATTTTTTAAAGTTAAAACATTGTCACAAAGAAACTAAAAAGTGCAATCCTATAAATGGGTTGATTTTTCAAAGAGAAAAGTGCTTATGCTATAATTTGGAGATTTTTCAAAGTAAAATGCCTTGATAAGAAAAAAAAATCAAAATGTTACAATGTTTTAACAAAAATAAAAATGAAAAATGTAACGATACAATTGGGTTTACTTTTCAAAGGGAAATGTGCTTATAATAACAAAACCAAAAGTACAATGCTAAAATTGGCTGGAATTTTCAAAGTAAAATGCCTAGATATGAAAAAAATAGTAATGATTATCTAAAGTAAAAATGTTGTCACAAAAAAAAAGTACAATGCTATACATGGGTTGATTTTGCAAAGTATTAATGCCATGATAGGAAAAAAACTAGAATGTTACAATGTTTTAACAAAAAGAAACCTGAAGAATGCAACAATTGTTGGAAATATTACAGCATTATATAGCTGTTGACTGCTATATTTATGAGTTGTATATTGGCCTAAATTAGTCCTCTAATTGCCATTATGTTAGATGTATTTTTAGCCCTTAATTCTATAATTAGAGTAGATTATCTCTTTCCTAGTTTAAGATATTTCTTCCCTGTATATAAACTGTTGTGATGTAAACAAGAAATACAACTGAAAAGTTTTTCGTCCTTTATTTCATGGTATCAGAGTCAGGCTCATCCTAAACTTTATCAAAACATCTTTCATTTACTTTCCTGAGTTTTTTTTTTCTTCTTCCTGTAACCCTAACCTATCTATATCTGGAGGAAACCACTCAATATGTCACAATCCTGCTTCGCATCAAAACCTACTCTTCTCTCTACTCCTGACCTCATACATACTCTGCAAATCACCCAACACAAACTAAATGGGTTGAATTACTATCAATCTGTTTTGCTGGTCATCCAAGGGAAAGGGAAAGTAGGCTATCTTACCGGTGACACTTGTCAACCAAAACAAGATGATGCAAGTTATCAACAATGGGAAGCAGAAAACTCCATGATATCTGGAAAGGTGTCTAAGAGATGTACTCAGATCTTGAAAACGCATCTCAGTGTTTCGAGATTCGCTCAATCCTAAGATCCACTCGCCAAGGAACAATGACGGTTACTGAGTATTACAATCAATTAGTTGATTTATGGCATAATATGGACTTATTCTATTCTATTCCTTAGAAGTGTAGTGATGATGGAAACAAATATAACCAGATGCTTGAAAAAGATAGAGTTTTTTATTTTCTTCAAGGACTTAATAAGGATCTTGATGAAGTAAGATGACATATTCTTGTAGTCAACCACTGCCTTCACTTAAAGAAGTTTTTTTTGCAGTTCGTAGAGAAGAAAGCCAACGTAGAGTTATGCTGGCATCAAACGAGGGTATTTTTCCGGAAGAACAACCACAAAGATCAGCCCTTATGTCTTCTCATTCTCAAACTCATATGGAAAATAAGGATACTCGTCATTGGTGCGAACATTTCAAGAAACCTTTCCATATGAAGGCAACATGTTGGGAAATACATGGAAAGCCAAAGGATTGAAAGTCACGAAGCCAGCACAGAGAAAATTCGTCTGCTCATCTAGTTGAGCAAACCCAGCCACTAAGCTCTAAGCTCTGACATCAACAAACTCACTCCACAAAAAAGAAAACAACAACTACACATCATAGTAACATCAAAACATCTCTGTTAATAAAGAACACAGATTTAGATAACTGATTGTTGATACTATATGACTGGAGATCGTAGAAACTTAAGTAACTATAGGAATGGGTGATACAAAGTTTCAAGGACTTCACTTAAAATTAGTCCTTCGTGTGCCACATTTAAAATATAATGTGAGAAAATTAACAGAAGATCAAAACTATCAAGTAATTTTTCTTTGTGACTTTTATGTAATTCAGGATCTGCATTCGGGGAAGATGATTGGCAGTGCTTAAGGTACAACATGGTCTCTACTACCTCACTGGTCATTCTCAGTTTCCAACCTCCTGTCTAACACTATCTGCATCAAGTAAATTAAATTCTGATGTAATCCTTTGACATAAACGTTTAGGACATCCTAGTTTTTAGTATATGAAACTTTTGTATTACCGTCGGTGACCGCTTTCGGTGATACACACCATTGAAGCCCACAATCATCCACAATTGGCTTTTGATTTTCATCAATCGTATTGGATTTTGATTTTCATCGATTGTTTGATTTAGTTTTGGTTCATACATCAGTACGACATAGTCGATTCTTATATTGTATTGTTTTTCTAATTCCAACAGGTTTGGTTTTGATTTCATTAGGTTTGATTTTGATTGTTATCATATCTAGTTTTAATTTTCATTTGCCTTGGTTTGGTGGTAACTGATGGTGGTTGTCGGAGGAGGTTACAGGTTGTTGGACATGTTGGACATGAAAGGGATGAGGTGGATTTGATTTTGATAAGTTTTTGTTTTGATGACGTATTTGAAGTTTCAATTTTGATTTTGGTATCATTTGCTTTGGGTTGGTGGTAACTGATGGTGGTTGTTAGAGGTTACTGACGATGGTTGTCGGAGATAAAAGTGACGAGTTATCACCGGATCTTATTAGTTGTTACATAGAGGGAAGAAGAGGGGTTGTCTCCATACGGTGGAGGAATCAGATGTGAGCTCGTAAATGGATATAGCTTCTTTAATTTTTAAATTTTAAATCCAAACGCTTACGTGGCAATGATGTGGCCTGTTGTCTCCATGTCACCAGTGCCAATTAAGCATGGTAACCTACAAATGGTAAGTATTGGGGTTGATCCCCTATTTAACAGGTAAAATATAACTTTAATGACCTATTGTGCAAAAAAAAAAGAATAATGACCAAATCGGACAAAACACGATGGTGTATTGTGCTAAAATGACATTTTCCTGACCGATTATCTAAAAATCACATGGCCTTTGTATCTCAACTTGATGATAGCACTATTTCTTTAAACATTCATGAAGCGTTAAAGGATCCAGAAGTGAAAAGAAGCGGTCTTTGAAGAATTAAAAGCATTAAATGAAAACAAGACGTGGAAAGTTGTTGACACAAAGCCCGTCTGGTTGCTCGAGGATATACTCAAACATATGGAATCGATTATGAACAAACATTTGCCCAACTGGGAATTACATCAAATGGATGTATCAAATGCTTTTTTTAACGGTACACTAGAAGAGGTGTACATGAAGCTACCCTTTGGTTTCGAGCACAAAGAAAAAACCGCATCAGTATGCAAACTGAAAAAGGCTTTATATGGGTTAAAGCAATCACCCAGAGCTTGGTTTACTTGTTATAGCATTGTTATGAAGAATTTTGGATATCGCCAAGGGCAAGCAGATTACACTCTATTTGTTAAAGAGTCAAAGAACAAAAAATGATGTATGGGTTAAAGCAATTGTATATGTCGATGACATAATAATCACCAAATAAGATGTTGACGAGATCAACAACCTCAAACAGCTACTGCAATCAAAATCCAAAGTCAAGGATCTAGGATAATTACAATATTTTCTTGGAATGGAAATTGCTAGAAGCAAATATGGAATCTTCATTTCGCAAAGAAAATATATCCTAGATCTCCTAAGAGAGACATGAAAGCTTGGTTGTCGACCAGAAACTACTACAATGGAAAAACAGCTAGAAGGAAAAGTTGATCGAAGAAGACCCTTGAACAAATAAAGAAAGATACCAACGAATAGTGAGAAAACTGATCCATCTATCACTCACTAGACCGGACATTGCTTACAGTGTTAGCCAAGTAAATTTAGGCATGCTCCAACAGTTCGTCATCAAAATGCAGTTGATCAAATTCTTAGATATCTGAAGGGAACACCTGGAAAAGGAATGCTCTATAAAAAAAACGAGAACCGAAAGATTGGGGAATTTGCTGATGCAAATCAACAACAGGGTACTATACCAAGTTTTAGGGAAATGTGGTCACTTGAGAAGCAAAAAGCAATCAGCCGTGTCAAGAAGTTGTGCTAAAGCAGAGTATCGTGCTGTTGCACAAGAAATTTGTGAGTTAATATGATTGGACAAATTATTAACGGAATTGAAAATTGATGTTAATGGTCAACTACACCTGTGTAGTGATAGTCAACCATTGATTGCAATCGTATGAAACATGTTTGTATTGATAGGAATTTCATCAAGTCGGAGATTGAAAGTGGAAAGATAAAGCTCTAATAAGTTTTGATTCAAATGTATCCAAGTTGGGAATGATTGATATGCATTCACCAACTTGGGGAGGTGTTGGAAATATTACAGCCTTATACAACTGTTGACTGTATATTTGGCCTAAATTAGAAATACAACTGAAAAAAATTTCATTCTTTGTTTTTGTGGGTTTTTTTTTTAAAAATAAAATGCCTAGATAAGAAGAAAAATGTAAAGATTTTTTAAAGTTAAAATAATGTTGCAAAACAAAACTAAAAAGGACAATGCTATAAATGGGTAGATATTTCAAAAAGAAAAGTGCTTATGCTATAAAAAAAATAGAATACAATGCCATAGTTTGAAGATTCTTTCAAAGTAAAATGCCTTAATAAGAAAAAAATTAGAATGTTACAAATGTTTTTATAAACCGGTTTTTTAGTTGAACCAGTCTGGTGACCGATTCCCGGTACAACCCGTTCGACCGTCAGTTCAACTAAGAATTTTCCTACGGTGGGGTGCGTCAGCCATCGAGTTGTGTACACTCTTAAAATGTTTAATTTGCTTTGGAAATGGGTTGTTTTTTTAACGAGCTAAGGGAAATCCAACTATACAAGTCCACCAATATATCAGTTCAAACGGTCTTTTACCGGTTCTATCACACCATTTCAACCCGGTTTTTAAAAAAATCGTCCGGTTTGATCCGGTCGAGAAATTGACATAAAGTTGGTCGTTTTTAAACTGCTATCGTCCCTGGTTTCTGGTCCACCCAGTTCGAACAGGTTTTTAAAACATTGGTTTTAACAAAAAAAAAAAACTAAAAAAATGCAATAATATAATTGGCCCATTTGCTTATTGAAGTTTTTGGGTTGAAATGCTAAACAATGTGAACAAACAACAAATTATAAAGATGTTTAGTAGAAAGAACATATACCTGGATTAATAACTCAAAGTATTTTGCTATTTGTCAGTCCACTTGGAGCATAAGGAAGATTCAGTATCTCCACTATAAGTGACAAGAATTAAGACTACACATCAAATTGAGAATATTCAAATTGAAAAAAAATAACAGCAGCAGAACATACCCAGCAAGCCCTGAATTTAATTGCTCAGAATTCCAAAAAGAATGCGCACATCTAGATTTAAGTGTCAGATGCTTTCAACCTCATCTTCAAAAAAGTAAACCCTAAAAGAATTAGGTTTTCAAGATCAGCATAGCATTAAAAGAATAACAGCAGCAGATCATATTTCACAAATGAAACTATTTTAGAATTAATCAAGCACACCATTTTATTACGTAGATTCACTAGTATTAAAGGAAGAAGTCAAATGGAAAGAAATATTAATTTCTTTCATCACACTTTATTACTGTTTAAGTTAATATCACATAATTCTTGAATATGGTGAAATCAACTTCAATTCTAATTTCTAAATACATACATACACATAATTCTTGAATATGGTGAAATCAACTTCAATTCTAATTTCTTTCCATTACAACTTTGAACTTTTTCTTACTAAATGCCCTCTACTTTAAAAAATCTCAACAAACTATATCAATGTCCTTCTGTTTTTTCTTATTAGAACATTATTCTTTCATAAATTGACCCCTAATATAGAAATGAAAAATGCTTTGTATTTAAATGACATTGTTAACTTGGTAGATTTTTGAAATTACAATGTTCCTAACAACAAGAAAGAAAAGTAGAATGCTATAATAAATACATCAACAAAAGTATGTTTCCATTTCACAAACAAATATGAAATTTAAATCAAAACACAATCAACTTTCTTGAAAAATCTGATTGTGATACTCTCTGCACAATTATGCATCAAACTATGATCATGGAGGTTTGTTTTCTTAAAAAGCATGCTACTGAAAAGGTAAGAAAGAAAAACAACATACTGATATAGAGAACACGTATTCTCTATGCTGCATGTTAAGAATAATACCTTCTGATGATAAAAACAAAATTTGAAGAAACAAAATTTGTTGGAATCTTTGGATCTATTGCACCAACATTAAGAAGCAGGGGTAATTGGTTCATGTTAAAAAGATACACATACTGGTCGATAGGAAGGATCCTTGTCATTTGAAGAAACAACCCCACATTCATTATAATTAGAGTCATGTAAATTAAATGGGAAAATGCACTTTAAAAACTTACATGCAACATGATGATCAAAGGCTTCATGGACTGCATACAAGTTCTTTATTGAAAAATTGGAACCATGTTGGTATAAAATCAGGTTGAGAAGCTGGCTGCAGAGGCTTAATTTAATAATGATAAAATTTTAAAAAAACTTACAGATGGGTATAAAATTTAAACATCCCCCTTTCTCTTTATATTAACTTCTTTGCTAAATGAAAGCTTTTTATCAAGTCAATCATAGATATAGACACAAATCCAGAAAATTTAAGACATCATTATCCAGGTAGCACTTTATCAGTGCACCACTTGATGAAAAAGGAAAAAGGGTTATGCTAAATATCAAATCCATCAGATGTTGTAAACAAAGATGATTCAAGACCCAATATGATAGAATAAAATGATGTTGGTTCCCCTATGGCATTAGTTTCATTTTAATATACATTTACCATTTTGATCAAATTCTTTCAGCTTCTCCTTAATCTGCTTTTGACAACGGAAGAATCTCAGGGGTCTGCATGTTTAACAGATCAGAATATTAAAAAAAATAAAGTGATGTGAACATGTACAGGGGAAAATTAGGTAAGTTCAATCCACCTGTGTAACTTCTGATATAGAGAATGTAGCATTTCCTGAACTCCATTTACTTACAAGTTAAAGTCATGACATAACCATCTCAACCTAACCAAGTTCATAGCTTCTAGTATTACTGTTTCTTTGGCTTGTTAAGGATCTTACATGGTCACATCCAAGATTAAGGGCAGCTGAATACCATAGCAAGAGAATTATGGACACATCCAAACCATGATTATCATCTTATTAGTAAAATGCAAATCAGTGGAAAAGAAATAGGAAATAGAATAAACATTAGGTGATGAAGTCTTCCATCTAAACAAACAAAACATTATCAAACGATTAACGAAACCACAGAAACACATTTTGAAACAAGCCTACCAGATACGCTTAATCAAGATTTTACAGAAAAAACAAAAAACCCAATAAAAAGATAAGAGAAGAAAACCCCAACAAAACGATCAGCAAAACTACAGAAAAACATTAGTTTCCTTTTGTTTTTATGTTGCAATACTACTTGTGAAGTTTGAACATCAGATTTTACAGAAAAAAAGAGAATTAAAAAAGCAGTAACTAGTCTTCGATTTTATCTTATCCATACATAAAGAGGAAATTTAACCATCTGAAATTAGAGAAAAACCCTATAGAACTAAAGTAAAAGGTAGAAGAGAAAAATGATAAGAATGAAAACATACAGAGACCTTGATAATTTATTTGGATTGTAGACATGGCTGTGAGTGTCGTGGAAGGATGGGGGTGCTTGGGTCTCATGGGAGCAGAGTTACAGAGACCGGGATGAGTCTCCGGCGGAGTTTGAAGAGCAGCGAGCGGGACGAGCGAAGAAGGTTATATTAAGCGCCAATCCTTTCTGTTCTCTTTTTTGAAAGTCAAAATTGCAAGGACATGTGGTATGTCCAAGAATTTTGGTCCAAGTAACAGTCCAAAAGTTTTTATTTTGCTGCGGTTTTTTTTTCAAATTAAAAAATCTAAAAATGACAAATTTGCTCTTTTCTATTTGTTTTTTGCTTTTCTTTTTGTTATTAAATTATTTTCTAACTAAAAAAATATAAAAAATAAAAGAAAATATCTCTCTCTCACGTGATTGTGTTCTTCCCCAAAACACACATACTGATTTCGATCAAGACCATTTCGATCGAATCATTAACGAAACTATCTATTTATATCATCCATCTGAATCGAATCATCAATCAAACCATTTTGAGCAGCCTTCACTCCTTCGATGAACACATCCAGTTCAACCAAATCGAAATCTCATTCAAGAAAATTCGAAACTCATCAAGTAATTACCTCCGAAATTAACCAAACCTTCATGATTCTTGTAGAGAATATTTATCGGAGTCGACTTGTTTAGTGTCTTCCAAGAAAGGATTCTTTTCCATTTTGATACAACAACATTTCATTCAAGTTTCTTCCCTTAAAGGTTCTATATCCTGTGCCTTTTAAAATCCTCGGAGACGAATTAAAAGGTTGGTTAGACACGAAATACTTGTTTGAATCTGGAAACCTTCGAATCTTAAGAAGAAATAAGGAAACCTTCGTATGTCACTCAAGTTCCTCGTAGATGAAACTTTCCTTCACATCTTCTCTGATTTGCCCATTTTAGATGAATATTAAGAAATTAGGTTAGATTTTTCCAGATAAAGGTGAAGAAATCTAGATCAAAATAGAAATTTGGGTTTGATTGGGGAAGAGTGATAGGGATGAAGGAAGGAGATGGGGGAGGTGGCGATAGGGTTGTTTACAGTGACGTGAAAGAGGACGATCAACAAGAAATCAAGAACATAAGGGAGGAGTTGTGGATGTTTACAGTGACGCTACCTCACTGGTGGTTGTGGGTGGCAATTTGGTGGCTGTGGGCGGCGATCGATAACGACGAACTTGTCTTCTTAGGAACATATTGTGCTTCATCAAGATGGTTACCGGAGTAATGGAGCTTCATCAGTATGTGTGTATGTGTGTTTTGGGGAAGAACACAATCATGTAAGAGAGAGAGAGAAATATTTTATTTTATTTTTTATATTTTTTAGTTAGAAAATAATTTAATAACAAAAAGAAAAGCAAAAAACAAATGGAAAAGGGTAAATTCGTCATTTTTAGATTTTAAACTGTTTTGGATCAAAACCGCAGCAAAATGAAAACTTTTGGACTGTTGATGCTAGTCCAAACCTGTTTGGCCCAAAATAACATTTTTGGACATAGCACAGGCACCTTTCTTGTAATTTTGTCTTTTTGAAACCTTTCCAAAATTAACTTTTGATTTTTACTGTTATAATCCAACTTTTTATTCTTTGTTATGAAGTTGGACCCTTATTTTTTTTTATTTTTTTTACATTTTGGCATTTTGGCCTTTCCGTTTATTTTTTATTACAAACTTGGTCCAAACTTCTTTTAGAACTTTTTTAATAACTTTCTAAAAATGTAACTCTATATTTATTGTTAGGTCATCTCTAACCTTATACTAAAAATGTACTTTTTACACTAAAAGTTATATTATATTGCTCCAACCACATACTAAACCTAACTCTATATATAGCATTTGTAAATAGTATAATACTAAATATATTAGGAAATCTCCTCATCCCCCTTCTTGTTCACCGCCTCCTTTTCCACCATCATCACCTGCATCGTTGTCTACCTACATCTCCGTCGGGCACCTCCATCATTATCTCATCTTCCACCATCTACTCAAACTTACACATGAAACCATCAAGGAAATCACACCTTGTCATGGTTTAAATGTGTTTTAGATGGTCTAACACTATATTTAGTGTACTACTATTCACCAACATTACATATATTGTTAGGTTTAGTATGGGGTTAAAGCAATATAGTGTTAAATTTTAGTAAGAATAGATGTCGATGCCTTTGTAGAACTCCGGTGGTGTTCGGAGAAGTCGCTCGTGTCTCTCTTCATCTCTGTAGTTCCAATTGTGTCTCTTCATCTCCTTCCTATCGGCGGCGGCGATGCGGTGGTGGTGGTTGTGCTTGACCGATAATGTGGTGTTTAGTGATAAAGGGGGTGTTTACAAAAACAAAAAGGCATATAAAGGGGAAGGGATGCTTACATTTTCTTTTCTTTTTTATTTATTTTAATAAAAAAATTGAAAAAATAAGATACCAAAGGCAAATCCGTCATTTTAGATATTTTCAAATTATTTTAGACCAAACTCGCAACAAAATCTAAGTTTTGGAACGATAATGCTAGTCCAAACTTTTTGGACCAAAGTGGTAATTTCGACAAACCACAGGAACCATTTTTGCAATTTTGTCTATGAAAAATAATAATGTGAAATAAAAAAATGATATTGTATTATTCTGATGAAGCCCAAATAATCCCATGGCTAGACTGTTGTAGCCCAAATTGAAGCCCCGTATCCGAAAAAAAAATGGCATTCTCCTCATATTGTCGACAAGCTATTAATGGATCGTGTTCTTTGTTTTCTTCGATGATTCGCAACTCCCGCTTCTCAGATACAAAGAAAAACAAATACCAAAGAAGTGATATTAAAAGTCATTTTAATAGATTGATATTTAATAAAATTCGCAACTCCCGCTTCAATGCAACCATAACCATTCAGTAAAAAAAAAGATTGATATTTAATAAAATTCAACTTATGAGTTCTTTTAATAGAAAATCAAAGTTGACTTAAAAAAAACAGAGAACTCAATGGGAGGAGTTGATGTGCTGAGATTAATTGAGAATTGAGATAAAACTTGCATACCCACAAGGGGGAAACCACCACCAGAGGATAAAGAGACTACATATGAAAGGCACACCCAGCCACAATGGGGTATAGAAAGGGGAAGTAAGGAAAAAAAATTGATACTAGCACAAACATATTTAAAAAGAAGAAGAAGAAGAAACTAAGACCTATACTACTTACTCCATTATCCTGATTTTATGCGTCCACACCCTCATATGTGAAGTCAGAAAAGAGATCAAAGGTGGTTTTGGAATGATGGCTTACTTGAGACAATGTCATATCAGCAAACTCATATTTCAACTAAGGCGACAAGAAATAGCAATGTATTTTCATTTATATATGTCTTATTAAGGCATTGTACTTTGAAAATCTATCCAATAGCATTTTTACTTTAAGTTTTTCTCTTATCAAGACATTGTACTTAGAAGATCTACTCGATTGAAGAAATGAAAATTGCTTTGTTTCGAATGACATTGCTATAATTGGGTATATTTTAAAAGTAAGATGCTTTTTAATACAAAGAAATGAAAGTAGAATGCTATAATAAACAAACATATAAAAGTACGTTGTTGTTTCTACATTCATAATTCGTTACTGAATTTCTGATTGACAGTTCCATATCTTACACTTTTAACACACCCAGACCAGCTATGACACCTCAAGTATAACCGTAAATAAAGTGGCTTGAAACTATATATATATATATATATATATATATATATATATATATAGATCCGGTAAGAAATTTTTTTTTGGTAGGAAGGTAAGAAGTTTTTTTTCTTACATATTTTTTTGACGAACAAACTAAATGAATCACTAGATGATTCATTTGTAAGATGATTCACAAGAAAAAATTCCCAAAAAAACATCTTTATGATTCATTTTTAAGTAAATTAAGAAAAAATTCATTTTTATGACAATTTTAGTGAATAACAACAAAATCATTGTATAAATAAATCATCGAGATGTTTTTTTGAGAATTTTTTCTTGTGAATCATCTTACAAATGAATCATCTAATGATTCATTTTGTTTGTTCGCGAAAAAAATATGTAGAAAAAAAACTTCTTACCTTCCTACCAAAAATTTCCTTCTTATTTGATCTTGACTCTATATATATATATATATATATATATATATATATATATATATATATTATAATCGAGGGGCTGTTTTATAAATAGGGAAAAGTCAAAGTTGACTTTGACCCAGACAGATACGTATCAAGAAAATTTGCTAATCACTGTTTTTCAAGTACAATGCGCTAATAAGAACAAATTTGGAAGTACAATGAGGTAAAAATAAAAATGAAAGTACAATCCTAGATATGAAAAAGAATTGGAAAGTACATAGCTATTTCTTGCATTTAGCCCACATAAACAAAGTTAAACTGTCAAATACAATAACCAGCTAATTCCATCATGCAGATGCTACACAGTATCAGCTTCACTCAAACACAATAACACAAGTAACAGAAAACTGAAACCCAAAACATGAAATGGAATTGATTCTAACCTTTTATACTAGTTGTTTGGTTGTAGCCGAAATAAGAGAGGGATGGAGAGCAAATCGACTTTCAAGGACAAATTTTGAAGAAAGTTTGAGTTCAATTGAAAGGCAGTAATGGAACATGATTTTCGAGGGAGATGAAAAACAAAATTAACGCAGCAAACAAGAAGGCTGAAATTGAATTTTTAGTGGTTTATTTTGTGATTTATCAATTGAAACATTAAAAAATGGAACATGATTTTCGAGGGAGATGAAAAACAAAATTAACGCGGCAAACGAGAAGGTTGAAATTGAATTTTTAGCGGTTAATTTTGTGATTAATTGAAACATTAAAAAATAAAAAAGATAAAAATTACGTTTGCCGGTAGTCGAACCCGGGTCTATTGCTTGGAAGGCAATTATCCTAACCGTTGGACTACAAATGCTGGATGCTTCCTTAATAATGTCTAGCTATATTATACCAATATACGATATGGAATGTTCCTACTTCTTATTGTTCTATGATTCAGTTACGAATGAAAATGATTTTTCCTGATTGTCTTAAACAAAGATACTGGCTGATATAAATTGAAATTTTGCATTTTAACCCTCTTATTCAAGAGCAAAGCTATGTATGCAGGTGGGTCCTCCACCTAGTTTTATAAATCGTATTACAAGTTATATATGAAAAAAAATAAGACATTTCTTACAATTTTTCAAAGACTTACCGTATAATATTTGACAAAATAAAACACAAAAAATAAAAGAAATAGTAGAAGATTTATATTTAAATTTGCAACGCAAATAGTTATAGAAAAACATGAAAAATAACACAACTCCCACATTGATGGTCGTAGAAAATAAGTGTTTTAAATGAACTATTTGAAAAAAGAAAAAAGACCCAAATATTAAGTAATTATTTATTTTTGCAAAAAAAATCCAACTATAGGGTCAATTAGGTCGACTTTTGTTGGTTTTTAAGGTGTTCAACCAGTCCGGTTGAACATTGTTTTTAGCAAACCGACTGTTCTTTTACCGGTTTGAAGTGACCTGACACATAGTAGTTGGAGTCGAGTTACCTGACTTTACTTAATTAGGAAACCACATTCTTTTGTATTCTAGATTCGTCACTGCTCTTATTGTAACATCTTCATATAAAAAATAACAACTTTCACATAAAATAAGTAAATAACCTTAAAGTATGCAAAAGTCTCAAATACTTGCAACAAAGATACCAAAAAAATATCAATATAAGCTCTTATTGATACTATAATACTCAATTTGATTATATGTTCTACTGTTAATATAAACTAAAGACCACTCAAGACTTTTTTACACAAATCTACCTACTAAAATGGATATTATTTTATATCCCACAAGCAAACATGTGCTTCTAGATCTGAAAAGACTCTTTGTCAACAAAGTCAACTCGCAACACATATGTTTGCTAATACTAATAAATAGTTTAACAACCGCTAAGTGACACAACACTTGTTAAAGATCATACATCCTACATCAAATAATCCATGTTCTTGAAAGCTGGATCTACCCAAAAGATCATAGATTGAACACAACAACAAAGTTAATTACTGATTCTAATCAATGATTATTAAGGGGCAAAAAGTAAAATGTGCATTAAAACTTACCAAGAAAAGAAACATTGCATGTATCATCTATCTACTTCTAAGAGTTCATATGTAGTGGTTCTCATATCTTTTCTAAACTGACAATTGCATACATATTTCAAGTCATACATCATCTAACTTGAGTTAAAGAAATAACTAAC